CTGTTTTGTTTAATTCTTGGATCAGGCTTTAAAGGGCTAATTAAAGATTGTGTAGGAATCTGTCGGTTAAAGAGGCAGATCGGATAAAACAACCTGGTTTGGGATTTATAAAAACTTTGAACGAACCCGTGAAGCCGCCGTCTGCGATGTTGAACATGAAGCGCGGCCGCTCGGTGGGAGGCTTCCCCATCGGCCTGGGCGCCTCCTCTTTGGCCGCTCTGACTTCTTTCCCAGCATCCTTTTCACCTTTGACCTCTTCTGTGGTTAAAGAGGTAGAGCTGACGTGTGAACTGGGACTCCTAAACAAACAGATCCCAGTTCAGAGCAGGATTTCTCACCTTTCTTTACATCGGCTGCCTCCATCTTCTCCGTCTTCTCCTTGGTTTCCATGGTTTCCGTGGCTCGCGTCTCCTCCGGCTTTTCCTTTTCCTTCTCCCTCTCCTCGCCACTCTTCTGCCCTTCTGCGAACCGAACACAGGTCACATCGAGCTGTTTTTGGCTGTTTAAACCAGTGTTTTTCAACCACTGTGCCTCGGTACGCTAGTGAGCCGCGAGTGATGGTCAGGTGTGCCGTAGAAAATCATCCTATTTCACCTAATTGGTCTAAAAAGATTTTTTGATAAGGAATTAATTATCTGCAAATAATATGCCATTTTTGAGTGTCTGTGCTGTTCTAGTGACTGGTGGAGTAATCATGTAATAATTCTTTATGACTAGATTTTGTATATAATTTTGCATATTGAAGTGGACATGTTAAGTGCAATTTGAAAGAAGAAATATAAAATAAGATAAAAATACATTTTTGTGTTTATTTGATTCCTATTCATGACACTTAAGGTAAGATAAGAATAAAATAAGAATAACTATAGTGTCACTATAGGCGGCTACAGATTTGTTTAACATTTTTGGTGGTGTGCCTCGAGATTTTTTCAATGAAGAACTGTACCTTGGCTCAAAAAAGGTTGAAAAACACTGGTTTAAACGATCCGTTTGAACTCCCGTCCCTGTTGTTTTTACCTGGCTTCTCCTTTTTGACTTCTGGGTCCTGGCTGGTTGTGTGTTTCTCGCCCTCCTTGCTGTCCTCCTGCTCCTGTTTCTCCTCCTCCGTGTCAGCCGGAGCCTCGTTTTTGTCTTCCCTCTCCTCCTCTCTCACGTCACCCTCCTCTTTGCCGTCGGCTTTCAGGCCGGGAGACGTCTGCGGCGCTTCTTTTGACGAGGAGGAGAGCTAGACAGAACAGAGGCGCAAATTAAAGGTTTTCAGCCACTTTTACAGACCAGAGAGAGACCTCAGTGCACTTTTAGAGCTACTCGTGTTTAAATCGTCACATGTTTTGGGCCTTTTCAACACCGAATATCTTCATGTCCACCATTTTTATGCTTTTCCACCCTCCAGCGAGCCGCTGCTTCAGAAATGTTTCACATCGTATGACAATAACACTGTAATTATGCTGAGAGCTCGCCATGCTATTTGCCTGTCATGTCTGATTTCCAGTCAAACAGTGAAAGTCCGCAGAGGCCAGCGGCTGCCTGACAGGAAGAAAAATAACCCAAACGCACTGGAAATTCTTTAAAGAAAAAAAAAGAAACCAACACGTGACTTCTATTATTAAGATTAATGCGTAAAGTGTGACGTAAGAAGGTTTGAAGCCTGTAAACTTCGGTCTCACCTCCTCAGCATCTCCGCTTTTGTCTCCATCCACCTCCCTCCCCTCCACCTTCTCCTTGGCTTTGTCTTTTTCCGGAGGGCCCTCGGCTTCCTCCTTGTCCTCATCCTTCTCCGCCGCCTGATTTCCGTTCTTTTCCAGCTTCTCCACGGGAGCCGGAGCAGGAGTGGCTGCGCGTAAAAGTAAAAAAACAAAACGTAAACAAACGGGCAGGTGGCGGTCGGGCCGAGGCAGCTTTGCTCTAGAGGCTGACGTTTTTTCGGGAATCCCGTGGGATTCCCGTGGGATTCCTGCAGGATGGGAGTCATCTTTGCTATTAATCATGGGATTTAGACGGTACAGGATAACGTGAGCAGACGGGAGCGGGAATCAACCAATAGCAAAGACGAAAAAAATAAAATAAATGCACCATTTTGTAGTTTCCTTTTAATATGCCTATTGTCACGTCTGGGGGAATGTCTGGTGTCTCGTCATGTCATGATTACCTATTGTGTACACCTGGGGTTCCCCTCCCTCATGTGTTTAAATAGTCCTCGTTTCCCCTTGTCTTGTGCCAGTTCGTTTTCTTCCTTTTCGTCCTTTCGTCCTTCTTGTTTCGTCTGTTGTCTTTCGCCACCCCCAAGCCAGGTTTGCTTTGTGCCATAGTCTTTTACTTTGTTCCATAGCCATGTTTTGCCACAGCCTTGTCACAGTTTTGTTAATCTTTATTTTGTTACTTTGCCACAGTCTTGTTTACTTATTGTTTTGATACTTTGCTCATAGTTTTTCACAGCCTTGATTTGAACTTTGTCTGGACATTCACTTTTGAACCTGTTTTGTTAAAATAAACCCTGCTTTTCCGTCATCTCCGCGCCTGAGTCCTCCCTCAAAACCCACCGTCATGATACCTACAATGTAACGCAATTAAAAAATAACTACATGACCCAGCCGTCCCAGAAGCCATCAGTGCTTTTTTGTCACGGCTTACCGCCGGAATTCAAAGAGCAGTGATGGAGGGAGCTAATAGCCGCGGAGAAGTCAATGTGGCAAAAAATGATTTACAGCGCAAAGTCAGAAGTAATGACATGTCTATTAGGTTCACAGAACTGGTCGGAAAGACTGAAATATTATATACGTTTATGAGAGTAGAATATGACGGTGCTAGCACGACGTACGCTGCTTGTAAGACTAAACGCTAATTGAAGAAAAAAATCAGTTTAAACAGGAGCGGGATGGGATGGGATTATTTCTTGAACTTTGGTCTGGGAGTGGGACGGGACAGGAGTGAAACTCCAGTCCCGTGTCATCTTCTACTTTGCTCACGTGTGGAGCGCCCCCTGCTGGGATACCTGGCTCGGAGGCGCAGGGCGTGTTGTTGTAGCTGGCGTCGGGGGTGGGGGTGGAGGTCTTCATGGCCGGGGAGGAGGCCCTGGAGGAGGACCTGTCCGGGTTCAGCTCAGGCTTCAGCTCGGGGAGGCTCCACCGGCCGTTGATGTGCTCAAACTCCTGGACCTGAACCCGGAAAAAGAAAAAAGAACCAGAGATGTTTAAAGTACTGGAGTAGAGGAGTGGAGTAGAAGTACAAGTACTATGTAAAAGATTTTACTTGAGTAAAAGTAGAAGTATTCTTTCAACTCCATACTTAAGCGGAAGTACGGAAGTACTCAATTTTTTTTGTACTTAAGTATTGCAAGTAGAAGTATTTCAAAAATTGCTACTCAAGTATCCAAAGTACAAGTTTAAGTAAAAGTACAAGTACTGTGTATATTTAAAAAAGGCAGTCAAAAGTTTGATAGATATTGTTTATATTATTTCAAACGTGTGAAAGGCCATACAGGTGTTTACAAAAACAGAAAACTACATCTGCGTTAGCATCAACAGCACTTCATCTACTATCATTTATTATTCCATAGTCAGAATCCTGAACTGAGCCTTTATGCTAGCATGTAGCATACAGCTAGCCAGCTAGGTTAGCTTTAGCTAACGTTAGCTGCTACGTCCTGAGTGAACAGGGAGAACTGAACTAGCGCTTATTTACTAATTTATATGTCATTGTATTTTTTTATTTACCTTGATATGCTTGTTCAGATTAGATGGGGAATTTTTTAAGCCTATAATTAACAATCTTTCGGGAGGCTTTTTTTAATAGGCTATGCTTGATCGTTCAAATCGCCAATGAGGAGCCAGCTTCCCAAACCCTGACAGAGCTATCTATCATTACGTTTACATATCAGTAACGAGTGAAAAATCGATCGGAGTAGAAGTATTGAATTAATCAAAAATATGTAGTGGAGTAAAAGTAAAAGTAGGGGAAAAAATATCTACTCCAATAAAGTACAGATAGGTTACTGCATTTTGGTACTTAAGTACAGAACTTAAGTAGTTCTACTTCGTTACTGAACATCTCTGAAAAGAACACACACAAAGAAAACAAGGCTTGGCACGGCTGGTCGGGTCTATCAGCGCCTGTGTTAAACACGCCACCCACATGCCCGGTTTGGCGGGCAGATTAGCGCTCGTTTGCCTCAGATGGCGGCGGCTGCAGGTTCGAACAGGCCGGACTCAGAAAGGAGCTGCGGGATGTTTGGACGCAGCTGAATAAACCGACAAACCGAAACCAGCCGCGGTCCAAACGGCTCTCAGGTGGACGATTTAAGCTTTTTGTCTAAGCGGCGATGAGCTCTCAAGCTGTTGACATAACCAGCCAATTACCTCTAAATCCTGGCGATTGCGCAACCCCGCTTCCAGGGAACGTGCGATTCTTTGGGGACCAGAAACTTCATCATACGCAGACGGGGAGCAAACATTAGCTCTTTAGAGCTGTGACAGCGGGAGATAAGAGATCAAAAACTGGTGTTTAATCTCACTTTGTGTAGTTTATGTTCACTGACATTTGCTGGGGAGGCTGTTTAGTGGCACAGATCCAGAGCTGATTGGATCACAGGGGAATTAGACATTCATTTGTTTTAAATAGTTGTTGTTTTTTCTTTCATTTATGAACTTATTACTTAATTTAGTGTTGATTACAATGAGTTTAGGTTATTGTTGAGCTAGCTGCTTTTACAGATTGTGTGTTATTCTCTTTATGGACCTGATCAGTCTTTAGTTTGCTGTGTGTTGAGTTTCTTTAGTTTAGTCGCTGCTATTCCTGCCATGCTCCCGTCGTTCAGCCCGCCTATTTTAAGCGTACAACTAAGTTAGCTGTGTTTTTCACTTTTTTGGGAAAATAAAACCCAGATTTTTGGAAATTGTCCCTGTGTCTCTTATTGTCGAACCAGCTCAAGTCCCTCAACAAGGCCCCCGGGGGCATTTCTGGGGTTTCTGGGAAAATATTTCTCTTTAAATCCGAACTCTGCGTGAACCCCTTTTGGTACCTAAATAAAGCTAAAGCCGTGCCAAAGTAACCGACGACGAAGCAGAGAAAAGCACGACGCGCAGGAACCCCAATCTAAATAAAACTGCATGTTTTTATAAAAAATCTTTTCTTTAGTTGTTTCAGCCGTCAAACGTGTCGACATTTAAACAACAGCTGGCTTTAAATCCCACCAAACATAAAGGATGCAGTAATATTTAATAAAAGACAATTAATCTACATTAACTGAATTCAAACCCTCCAATAAGTGGCGTTTATTTTCTGTAATTGCTTCCTAGCTCTAGTTTTAGAGCTTTTGTTTGTCTTCTGTTCATCTGTTTTTAGGCCGTTTTGGAACTTTTCTCTTCTTTGAGTCAAATTTTGGGCTGCTCTTTCCCCGGATCCCCACAGATCTCTGGACTCTGGAGTCTCACCCCGGTCCGGCGGCTCGGTTCTGACCTTTTTCTTGACCAGCGACATGACGCCGATGCGGGTGAGCACGGGCTGCCGGCACAGGCCCTCCCGGGGGACGCCGTCCGCAAAGGTCTCGGCGCCGTCGGCAACCGGCTCGCAGAGGTGGCGCATGAACAGCGACACGTAGGCTCTGGGGAAGGGAATCGTGAAATAAGAGCAGGCGGCCATATTTGCAACCAACGGAAACGCGCTCCACCCACTTGAACTCCTTCTCGGTTTTGCCCCGGAGGTCCCGGACCAGCCACTGGGAGGAGAAGGCGTCCTGGGACGGCATCCCCCAGCGCATCACGGCGTTCAGGAAGGCTTTGCGCTGCCGGGTGTTGAAGCCCAGAACCTGTGAGAGAGGGGGGG